CACGCCTCGCTGGTCTCGTCTGTTAGCCCGTAAGATTGATGTATTTGATCTGTCCATGGACGATGCGCGTCAGCATGCTTTGTTTGTAGATGCTGACTTTAGTGCTGATGGATCTGTTTGCTCGCGTGTTCGTAGGTTAGCCTGCTTGCCTCCTGCTAGTGTAGCCTTGTGCCTGTCTAGCTTAGGTGCTTGTGTTGCTGCTCTAGGTGCTTGTGTAGCGACTGAGTCAGGTGACCCTCCGGCTGAGGCCTCTCTGTCGTTCACGCTGGACTCGGGCGCGTCTCAGTGCTTCTTCCGCGACCACACGACCCTTACCCCACTCCTCACACCTGTGTCGGTGGCTCTGGCTGATCCTACCTCAGGACCAGCCGTTGCGCGCAGCTCCACCACCCTCCCCTGCCCTGTGGTCCCCTCTGGTGTCCTGCGCGGCCTCCACATCCCCTCGTTCACTCGGAACTTGGTGGGTGTTGGATACCTCCAGGACAGGGGGATCACGGTTACCTTCGTGGGGGGTGGGCGGACTGCAGTCTGTACAGACGCTACCACAGGTGCTGTTCTGGCCACGTTCACCCGGGAGCCCCGCTCCGGTCTCTACGTCCTCCACACCGAGCGCTCCCCGGTCGCGTCCTCCCCTCAGGTCGTTGCGTCCCCTCCGGCCCAGGTCCCAAGTCCAGTTGCTGTGTCTAGCCAGGTAGTAGTGTCCGGTCCGGTCGCTGTGTCCAGCCCCGTCGCTGCGTCGTGCTCCTGTCGCTCTCTCACCCACCGCACCGTCCTGTGGCACCACCGCCTTGGCCACCCGTCGCTCCCTCGCCTACGTGGCATGCTCAGTCAGGGACTTGTCTCAGGTCTCCCACGCACCTTCCTGTCGCTCCCTCTCTCGCCTGCCCCTCCTTGCTCTCCGTGCGTCGCCGGTCGCTTACGCGCCACTCCCCACTCCTCCTCCCTTCGTCCGGCCACCGCTCCCTTCGAGACTCTCCACTTGGACGTCTGGGGCCCTGCCCCGACACAAGGGTCCGGGAGGGAGCGCTACTTTCTGGTGGTCGTCGACGACTTCTCCAGGTACACCACAGTGTTCCCTCTTGCGAAGAAGTCCGAGGTGACTGCTACGCTGATCAGGTGGCTTTTGGCCACTGAGGGCACTCGTGGTCGTCGAGTCAGTTGTCTCCACTCCGACCGAGGGGGCGAGTTTCGCTCCGGCATTCTTGCCGGATTCTGCGGCGAACAGGGCATCACCCAGTCCTGGACGCTGCCAGAGTCCCCACAGCAAAATGGGGTTGCTGAGCGCCGCATTGGCATGGTCATGGACATTGCTCGCACGTCCATGATTCACGCCCGTGCGCCCCATTTTCTGTGGCCCTACGCGGTTCGCTACGCCGCACTCCAGCTGAACCTCCAGCCGCGTGTCTCGCGGCCCGAGGCTTCACCGACCAGTCTTTGGACTGGTTCCCCTGGTGTTGGGTCGGCCTTTCGAGTCTGGGGCTGCCTTGCGCAAGTCCGCGACACCTCTGCGGACAAGCTCTCGGCACGCGCCATCGACTGTGTCTTCCTTGGGTTCCCGGTCGGCTCTGCTGACTGGACCTTTTACCACCCTCCCCTCCACCAGTTCCTAGACTCCCGTGACGTCCGGTTTGACGAGTCCGTGTCCTACTACACCCGGTACCCCTGTCGAGGTCTCCCGGTACCCCCTCCCCCTCTTTTCCTCGCACCCTCTCCTCCTCCTTCTCCCGCCCCTCCGGTTCCCCCGCCCCCCCCTGGTCCTGCCCCGTCTGGTGTGTCCCACGTTACCCCTCTACCCTCGGTCGCGCGTCAGGTAGCGTCTCCCTCCCCACAGTCCTCCTCACAGTCCCCTCAGCAGCCTTCGGCACTTCCGCGACAGGTTACCGTGGACTCGGTTGGTGTTGGAGCTGGAGGTGCAGCCGCTGGCGGTGCTCGGTCTGGGGGTACTCGGTCGCGGGGTGCTGGAGCGGGAGGTGCTGGCGCAGGTGGCGCTAGCTCTGGGGGTGCTGGAGCTGGAGGTGCTGGCGCAGGTGACGCTAGCTCTGGGGGTGCTGGAGCTGGAGGTGCTGGCGCAGGTGGCGCTAGCTCTGGGGGTGCTGGAGCTGGAGGTGCTGGTTCTGGGGGTGCTGAGTCTGAGGAGTCGGACCCTGGGTCTGCGGAGTCCACTCCGCCTCCCCACCGCCACGACACACGTCTCCAGGCTGCCCGCCGGCGTGAGCGTGAGGAGCAGGAGCGGTTGGAGAGGGAGCGGCAGGAGCTGCGGGTACTGGACCTCCTAGAGCAGCAGCGGCAGCAGCAGCAGCAGCAGCAGCAGCAGCAGCAGCAGCAGCAGCAGCAGCAGCCGCCGCAGCAGCTGCAGCAGCAGCCGCAGCAGCAGCAGCCGCCGCCGCAGCCGCCGCCACAGCTCCCTCTGGAGCGGCAGTTGTTCCCACCTGTGAGTGGCCTGCGGGCCCTTGGCCTTTCCTCCTCTCCTCCTGTGTTTGGTCCTACGTTTCCTCCTCTGGACGCCAGTCTAGCAGTCAGGTCGTTCTCTCCGCCACAGTCTCCTCCTCCTGTAGTCTCAGACAGTCGTGACTTGGTCACCCGTTGTCCCCCGCGTGCTCGTCACTCGTCCCCTGTTACTGACCTCCACACTGCCCTCCTGTGTTCGTCTCGTCGCCGTTCTCCGTCTCCTGTGTCCGTTCTCCCGTCTCCTCCTCTGTCCTCTCTCCCCACCCTCCCCACTCCGATCACTGACTACTAGCGCACTGTTCGTCCTGTTGCCTCCCGTGTCCTAGCCACTCTTGTCACCGACTCTTGTTTCCCCCCGTCGTCTGCCTCCGCTCTCACTGCCGCTGTCGCTGAGTTTGCTGCCGCTAGCCGCCTTGACTACGCTACCCGTGTGGTCCCTGCTCCTCCCTACCGTCCTCTGTCCGTCGGGGGTGAGTTTGCCCTTGGCTAAGACGTCCTAGAGGACAGAGAGTCTGAGCTGGAGTACTGGGCAGCCGCTTCTCCTTCTGTCTGTGCCATGCTGCTCTCCCCTGAGGGAGACCCCGACGCCCTGGACATACCGACTCCTCGCACTTACCGCGAGGCTGTGTCAGGGAAGTGGGCCTCTCAGTGGAAAGCGGCTATGGACTCAGAGTTGGCGTCTTGGAGATCCACAGGCACTTACGTCGACGCAGTTCCCCCTCCTAGGGCGAACGTAGTCGATGGCATGTGGCTCTTCAAGGTGAAGCGGCCGCCTGGAGCACCTCCGGTGTTCAAGGCGCGCTACGTGGCTAGGGGCTTCAGTCAGCGTGAGGGAGTTGACTTCTTCCAGACCTTTGCTCCGACCCCGAAGATGACTACTCTTCGGGTGTTACTTCACATAGCAGCGCAGCGAGACTACGAGCTGCACTCCCTCGACTTCTCCACTGCGTTCCTCCAGGGCCGACTGCACGAGGAGATCTGGCTGCGTCGTCCGCCTGGCTTCACTGACACCTTCCCTCCTGGGACTCAGTGGAGCCTGCGCCGACCAGTCTACGGTCTCCGCCAGTCGCCCCGAGAGTGGCACGACACTCTTCGCTCCACGCTTCGTGACCTTGGTTTCAGACCGTCGACTGCCGACCCTTCACTGTTTGTTCGGGAGGGTTCTACTCCTTTCTTTATACTTGTCTACGTCGACGACTTGGTCTTTGCTACAGCAGACAGGGCAGCGCTGGCTCAGGTGAAGTCGGAACTGCAGAAGAGACACAAGTGCACTGACCTGGGTGAACTGCAGCGCTACCTTGGCCTGCAGATCACCAGGGATAGAGCCGCTCGCACCATCACACTGACGCAGTCACACATGGTGCAGCAGGTCCTTCGGCGGTTCGACTTCCAGTTCTCCACCGCCCAGCCCACTCCTCTTGCTGTTGACCACAGACTCACGGGCCCCTTTCTTGACGAGCCCTTCGAGTCCAGTGGTCCTTACGCAGAGCTGGTGGGCTGCCTCATGTACCTGATGACCTGTACTCGGCCGGACCTCGCCTTTCCCCTCAGCATCCTTTCGCGCTTTGTTGCGACTGGGAGACACCGTCCTGTCCTCTGGACATCAGCTGTGAGGGTGGCAAAGTACCTGGCGACTACAGCAGGAGTGGGGCTTGTGCTTGGAGGGACTCAGCCAGTGGCGTTGACTGGTCACTGCGACTCTTCCTACGCTGACGACGTGGAGACTCAGCACTCGACTCAGGGTTACTGCTTCAGTCTGGGAGCTGGTGCTGTGTCGTGGAGGTCTACACGGTCGTCGTCTGTGGCTACTTCCAGCGCAGAGGCAGAGATCTACGCTGGTGCCATGGCGGCACAGGAGCTTCGCTGGTTGACCTTCTTGCTCGCCGACCTTGGTGAGCGGCCTCGCTCTGCACCAACCTTGTACGCTGACAACAAGGCCATGATCCTCCTGTGTCGAGAGCCTCGACTGGAGAGCAGAGTGAAGCACATTGACGTGAGGTACTTCCTCCTGCGAGAGCTGCAGCGACGCGGCCAGGCCCGCCTGGACTTTGTGGCCTCAGAGGCCAACACTGCAGACGTCTTCACCAAGGCCTTAGCGCTTGGTGACCACCACAGGTTCTGTGTGCAGTTGGGGCTTGTTGAGGTTGGCCCTAAGTTGCTGTAGTCTTGTTACTTGCTCTGCTTGTTGTGTTTCCTATCTAGTGAACCCTTGAACTTGCCTTGTGGCCACTTGCATGTGCTCGGAATTTGTGTGGTGTCCTTGAGATCCACCCTGAGCTTGCCTTGTTTCTTGCATTGACTGGTCTTGTGATCGTGTGCTCGCCTTGCTTGCTTTGATGCCCCTCACTTAGCCTATGGGGGTGTGTCAAATGTTATATTTGTGATAGGCTGTAGTGAGTTGCTCCTTAGGGAGTACAACACTTTGTTAGGTATCCTACTTGTATGCTTTCACAGCGCTAATCCACCCATTCCGCTAAGCTACTTTGAGACTAACTTCCTCCATGTAGTACCTAATTTTCCAACCGGATTTCCTTATCAACCAGCTAACTAGCTCAATCCAAATCCATATCTGCATTTGCACGCTTCCCCTCCATCTCAGCCATCCTCTCCATCTCCTCTCGCCTATCGTCCAACCGATCCCGCAACTCCTCCGGAGAGTAAACACACTTGGTGCCGCCCTTCATACCTCTAAGCGCCCGCCCCACATTCTTCACATTCTTAGCAAATGGCCACGCTCCACCCTTCCCCTTCCCTTTGTTCAAAGCCTTCCCCCCTGGGATGTCCTCATAAGGGCTGGAAGAGCCAATAAAGCTGGACACTCCCGAGGCGCTTCTCTCCGAGCCTATGCAGCTAGAGTCCAAGTTCTCGGGATCTGACCGTGTCACGCCTACCCTTTCCGAAGCTGACCCGTTGCTCCGCGCTTGCTGACGAGCCGATTTCGAGCGGACACAAATGTCTTCTGCATCCAACGGCCCTGATTCATCCCCCATATTGCCCAACTCGGAATCTTCTAGATCTTCAAACGACTTGGTTCGCCGATTCGCCTGAAGAGGGCGGTTGTGCTGACTAGGATCGGTGTAGTGACGACTGGCCTTATTAGGCTTAGTGTAGTGACGGCTGAGCTGACGCGGCTCAGAGTCAGACCGATCCAACTGACTGGAGTCCATGTCTTGACTGGAATTGGACTGATAAGGACTGAGAAGACTGGGACTGAGTTGACTCGACTGACCAGAGCTGCGCTGACTGCCTTGACTGGCTTGACTACCTTGACTGGGTTGACTTGATTGACTGGATAAACCCGGGCTGGCGGATCCCAGAAACTTGCTGATGAAGCGGGGGGAAGGGAGGGTGGAGAAGGTAACCCTATTGAAGGAGGAGGAGGAGGGGGTGCGGGAAGAGGAGACGAGGTCCATGCCTGCTGCTATGCGCACAGGGATGGGCATGGGGATGGCTGGTGGCTTCACCCTCTCCTGCTGTTGCTCTCCTGCCGCTGCTGCCCCTGCTGCTTCTGCACTCCCTGCTACTGCTGCCCCTGCTTCTGCTGCTGTTGGTAGTGCTGGTGATGCTGCTGCAGCAGCTGCTGCTGGTGCTGCTGCTTCTGGCGCTGGTGCTGTAGGCACCGAAGACGCTGCAGCTTTAAGGCTTGGGTCAGCAAAAGAAGGGGGAAGATCAGGCGCAGCAGAGAAAGACCACGAAGGAGCAGTGAAAGAGAATAGCGCGTCTTTCCACTCGTCCTCATCCTTTCCAGCTTGCCCAACCGCCTTCTCAGACACCTCAACAGCCTGCCCAGCTACCTGCTCCTCCTCATTTCCTACCTCCTCCTTCCTCCCAGCATCCAACAACTTCTTTCCAGATTTCCTTCCAGGCCCAAACCCAGGGGCAGCAGCAGCGACTGCAGCAACAGAGGCAGGGGTGCGACGGATCGCCTTGCCCGCGACTCGACTCACGTGCACAGCAGCGCCCAGCCATGCTCCACCCCACCCCCGCGCAGCAGGGCTCTGTTGGGGCCCGCTCACTGCCAGTGTATCCGCCTCCTCTCCTCCCCCCACCTCTCCTCGCCCATCCTCTCCCTCCCCCTTCTCCCCTCCCACCTCTTCTCCTACACCCTCCTTCCCTCCAGCCTCTGCTGCTGATCCCTCTGCTGCTGCTCCTTCCGCTGCTGCCCCCTTCTCTGCTGCTCCCTCCTTGAGTCGCCTGTTCTGCCCAATGGGCTGCTCGTCTCTTCTTCCTTCTCCCCCCTTCTCTCCTCCTATCCTCTCTTCCTCCAGTTCTCCTCCTCTTCTCTCTTCACCCTGCTCACTTCCTCTTCTCTCGTCCTCCTGCTCTCCACCTCTTCTGTCTTCCTCCTGCCTCCCTCCTCTTCTCTCTTCCTCTCCTCCTCTTCTCTCTTCCTCTCCTCTTCTCTCTTCCTCTCGTCTTCTCTCTTCCTCTCCTCCTCTTCTACCTCCATCCAACTGTCCTCCGTCACCCATCTCCCCATCGCCCTGCTCTCTCCAAGCAATTAAAACATCCGCAATCGCACTGCGTTCTGTGTGCTCCCCTGCTACTCCCTGCACCCCCACCTCCCCCACACAGTCCGCAGCCCCCGCTGCCATAAGCACATCTCCCTCCCTCCAACCTTCATCCCCTTGCTCAAGAGTTTCATCTCCTTGCACGAGAGTTTCATCTCCTTGATGCCACGTGTCAGTTGCACTTTCACTCATCGCTGTGGCATCATCCCCCATTCCTTCTCTCCCGCCAGGAAATTCCCTACCTTCCTTGCTCCCCGCTGAAACATGTCTGTTAGCAGCACCCGACACTGCAGAGCATGCAGTCGATGAATGCAGAGCATGCAAAGAATCAGCTGCAGAGGCTCTTTCCATGCTCAACCCCATCTGCTCTCCGCTCTCCCCTTCTCCACCATCCCCTTCTCTGCTCTCCTCCCCTCTGCTCTCTCCTTCTCTAATCTCCCCTTCTCCACTCTCCCCTTCTCTGCTCTCCTCTGTCTCTGCCAGCCTCACTGATTCACCTGCACGGCTTCTGATCGACTCATTTATGCTGCCCTCTCCCCCACTCCCTCCTCTGTCTTCTCCTTCACGCCTCCCTCTCTCTTCTTCATCCTCCATCCCTCTCTCCGCTCGCTTGTCTCCCTCATCTCTTTCACCTCTTTCATCTCTTTCAGCGCTCTCCTCTCTTTCATGTCTCTCTCCTCTCTCCCAAATCTCATGTCTCTCACCCCTCAGATCATCCTCGCCCCTTCCCTCACCTCCACCGCCCTCCCTCATATGCTCATCTGTCCCCTCTCCACTCCTCTCCCGCTCCCCATTGCTCTCTTCCTCCCCACACCTCTCTCTCCCCTCTCTCAACACAGCATCACTTCCTACCTGCTCCCTTGCCCCAGCACAGTCAGCACCGCCACTAACCTCTCTACACCCACCCAGCTCTGAGCTCTCGACTCTCCTCCCAATCTCACCACCGCCCTCATCACACGCCCCTGGCCCGCATCCCTTTGCTTCCTTGCACTCCCTCACTCCCTCTCTCACTCCCTCCCCCACGTTCCCACCCACAGGCACACTCGTCACAGGCACACTCGTCACAGGCACACTCGTCACAGGCACACATACTTCCCATGCTGTATCACACTCAGCCTCACCATCTCCCTCCTCTCCACCTCCCTCCTCCCCATCTCCCTCCATCGCCCTCTCTCCTGCAAGTGCATCTTCCAGAGCAGCAAAGCTCTTTGCCTTGCTACCAAATCCACCATGCCCCTCCCTCTTCCCATCGCTGCCACACCCGCGCGTTTCATCTCCCTCTTGCACCGTTTTACCCCCCTCCACCACCATTTCATCTCCCACCACCAACGTTTCATCTCCCTCCACCACTGTTTCATCTGCATCCAGGCAGATCACTTCCCCAGCCGTCTTACTGCGCGTGTGCCCTCCACCCACGCGCCTTACAGCAGCAAAACTCTTCCCTCCCAGCCCCTTTCCAGGCAGCTTCCTATCCGAAAGAATGCTTAAAGCCTGGCTGAACGCTCGACCCGTATCAACCGCCCGTGCCATCCCACCAAACGACTTCCTTCCCACAGCACCCCCGGCAGCACTCTCAGCAGCTACCACGTTGGAAAGCTTACCAGCACTCGCATTCCCTAGTGTGGAAGCAGGAGAGGTATCACTCCTCCTAGCACTCCCTAACAAAGCAGCTGTAGCAGCAGTGGAGGAAGAGGCGACCCTTCGATCCCTTGCAGCCGCAATAGCTGCTGCAATAGCAGCAGCAGCAGCACCGGCAGCACCGGTAACTACAGAAGCACCAGCAGCACCGGCAACAACAGGAGCATCGGCAGTACTGGCAACAGCGGCAGCAGCAGCGGCAGAGCAAGGAGTGGAAGACTGAGAGGACTCTATCAGTGTGCCCCACCTTCGCCTCAGCCCCTTTCCCTCCCCGCTCCTGCCACTGCCACTACCAGCACCAGCACCAGCACCAATGGCACTGGCACTGGCACGGCCGCTGCCAGCATCACCAGCAGCTAGGTCCCCACTAGCTTGTATTCCCCGAGGGCTGTCCTTTCTCTCCAATAGTGCTCCAAGCAGCAAACTCCTCAGCTCCCTCTTTCTCACCGCACCTCCGACCTTGCTGGCCTGCCCATCGGCCATCCCTCCTCCTGATTCCTCCTTGTTGTTCTCACACAAAGAGCCCACCGCTCCTCCTGCCTCTTCTCCATCCTCCTCTTCTTTCCCCTCCTCCTCTCCTCCTAAACTTCCAAACCGCCATCTCCTCGACACCTGCAGGCTACGCTTGAGCTCTCGCTCTTGCTCTTCCACCAACTCCACCACACCGTCCATCACCGCATTCCACCCACCAACACCGAGGCTCATGCCCACCCCACCGCCCTCCCCATCATGCCCACTCCGCAAACCACCACCACCATCATCACCACCACCATCACCACCGTCACCACCATCACCAGCGCCAGCACCATCAGCAGAAGAGCCAACATCAGCAGCCTTAGTAAGAGCAGCATTGGCAGCATCGGCAGCATCACCACCAGCGCCAGCATCAGCAGCGTCAGCAGAGCGAGTGCGAGAGCGTGCAGCCTTGGGAATGTTTTTCCGCACCAGCATCGCTCCCAGCAGCAATCGCCTCACCTCTCTCTTCCTTGACACCGCACCCACACCCCTCCCCTGCCCGTCCCTGCCACTCGCCCCTGCACCACCACTGGCACCTGCCGCACCTTCTGCACCTTCTCCCTCACCTTCCACCTCCATCTCCCCATTCCTCCTCCCTTCTCCTGCACCATTCTCTCCTCCACTTCCATCTCCCTCCTCCCTTAAACTCTCCTGCAGAGCGCATCCCTCTATCGAGGGCTCGGGGTTGATCGTCTGCTCCCTCTCCACCTCTCTATCCTCCTGATCGCCCCCCTCTGAACCTGCACCGAGCCTACCAGCACGAAGATTCTGCTCCCGCACACTCTCTCCATCGTCCATCCCTATTTCACCCTCCTCTCCGTTTTCCACGCAAGAAGACTCTTCCTCTTCCTCCTCCTCCTCATCCTCCTCCTCCTCATCCTCCCAATCCTCATCCTCCCACTCTTCTCCTCCTCCCTCCCTCCTACTCTCCCTTGACACCTGGAAGCTCCTCTTAAGCTCCCGCCCTCTTGCTGACTCCACCATTTTATCTGCCACCACGTCCCACCCCCCTTCACCGCTCTTTCTCCTCGTTTTTGCCTTCTGCCCGCCTGTCCACCCCTTGAGTGATCCCCACATGAACTTCCCACTGCTCTGGCCCTCACCCTTTTTCATCCGCCTACCTAGTGCCTGGCTAATACTGCCACTGTTGCTACTCCTCCCCCCCACCGCTCCACCATCCTTAGCTTTGCTGCTGCTGCCGTCACCATAATCAGCATCCGCATCCCCATCCTCAGTTTCCTCCTCCTCTGCAGTAGCAGCCTCAGCAGCCTCAGCCTCAGCAGCCTCAGCAGCAGCAGCCTCAGCAACAGCAGCAGCGGCTGCATCTGCAAAGCCACTGCGGAAGCCGCTACCAGGCCCATCACCACCAGAAGCACCACCACCACCATCGGCTCCGCTCCCTGCCTTCCCACCACCACCAAGCAACCACGACAACCACGACCACCACCAGCTACCCCCTCCACCCTTCTCCCCATTCCCACTCCCTCCACCCCCTTCCCCTCCCCCCAACACACTCCCATGCCCCTCCCCCTCTGCCGCACCATCCCCTTCACCAGACTGGGCCGAGAAGCAGACAGCCCGCTTGCCTTGAGAGGCGGAGGCGGCGGAAAGCTTGCGGTGGCGGGCGGAGAGGAGGGCGGCAGCGAAGGCACGCTGGGCGGCGTCAGGGTCGAGTGGGCAGTCTCGCACCTTGGGGTCCCGAGCCTTCTCCGCTGCGGTCACCTGCACCTTCTCCTCTGGCGTGTAGCTGCGGTATACCATCTGCACTCATGCAACAGGGAGGGAGAAGGGGGGAAGGGCGGAGGGGGAAGGGCGCTTATTATAGAAGAAGCATAGCCATTGAATCACTGGCCTTGGGCCCCCGGCCTTTTCCACAACTTTCACCTGCACCTTCTCCTCCAGCGTGTAACTCCAATTTACCATCTCCCATGGTCTGGGGTGGAGGGAAGGGGTTGTGAGCTGAGGTGCGAAACCGGAACAAACGATGCGAGTCATAGTTGTTGATCAGAGATTTGGCCCCGCCCTCGTTTGGGCGAAGCCGACGTCACTAATTGACGTGCATGGTGTGCAGCCGGCAAGGCTTCGTCGTCGGCGTTGAATTGAAAGAGCAAGTCGGCTTTGTTGGCCGACCTCCATGGAACTGACTTCAACGGAGCTGTCTAGCCGACTTGGGTGAAGCAGACTTCCTGGTCAATGCTAACTAGGAGGATCAAGTCGGCTTAGAAAAAAGTCGACCACATGGCCGACGAGGTGAAGTCGGCGGCCGACGAAGGTGTTTGACATAACACCGACTTGGGGAATGCCGACTTATGGATGTCAGCGGACTTCTCTGGTCGACCGTGTAACCTGGCCGACGAAGTTTTGCGGGGGTGCACGAACGTCGTCCAGGAGGCTTTGACGAAGTCGTCCTGCGGGCTGGTACCTTGAGGTTGACGTGGTGCATCTGGCGCACCTGTCGACACGTGGCCGACTTGGGACCTGCGCAACGGTCGTGGCGGTGCACGATATGCTCAACCGTCGACCCGCACTTGCGAAGTTGGTGAGTGCAAGTGCCTATAGTCACCTGCAAGTTGGTGAGTGCAAGTGCCTATAGTCACCTGCGGTTGCAACGTTGACAAGACCCCTTGTTGCAGCGTTGGCAAGCCGCCTTAGTGCAGAGCTCGAAGGTCGTCGACTTGCGGTGCTGGCAAGCCGTTCAAGCTGTGTTGGCACGCTGCCGCCTTGCTACGCTGGCAAGCTGCCCCCGTGTTGCGCTGGAGGTCGACTCGCCTGCTTGCTAGGCTTGGTAGGCCCCAGTTGTATTTACTATTGCCAATCACTCTCAGCTATTTTTAATGAAACTATTGTCGTTTTGCCCCGTAAACACGCAATTTCTAGAGAACACAAGGAACGCTACGATCACTCGTACCACCCGTACTTCCTCCCTGTAGTCCAGCTCCCGATGTTGAACGACTCTCCGCAATAGTAACAAATGATGCGAGTTGTACTCGCCTTGTAACCCTGCGAGTCATGTGTAAGTCACAAGGATTTTGGGAGTGTGCTTAAGACTCACGTGCACTTACCTACTGAGTGATGCGACCCAACTTGTGGTCGATGCCCAACATGCGGTTGTTACTACCCTTCGGCAGCAGTGCTTTTGAGGCGTCTCAAAAGCCTACACAGTGATGTGGCGTGTTCATTCCCTCACCTGTAGAGTGATGCGCCCCAGCTTGTGGTCGATGCCCAACATGCGATCGTTGTTAAGCTTGGGCAGCAACGTCAATGTGACCGTCTGCACTGTGTCCTTATCGAGGAGGCCCACTAAAGGGTACATGGCGTACCCCAGGTTCTGACTCCCAAAGCTGTCCTCATCGTCCACCTGAGGAATCACAAGGGCGGGAGAAATTGGGGATGTGTTGGGGGTTGTGGGGATGCGACGGCAGGTGTTGCCATGAGAGGGGGTTGCCATGAGAGGGGGGTTACTTGGGAGGGCAGAGGGCAGGCCTAAGAGAGCGGGAGGGCAGGATAGATCAGGTGAGGGGCAGGGCAGCGTAAAGGGCGCGCGCGGGCAGACAGACCTGAATGAAAAGCTCTGCGGTGTGGATGTCGTCCACGGGCAGCTCGAAAGTTTCATTCCAGACCGGGTTAAGGTCATTGTCAATAGTCCTGGTGACGGCCTTGTGCTTGCCGTGCGTCCACAGGATGGCAAAGGGGTCCGATACGCTCATCATATCCACGTTCTTCAATCCCTCCGCCTTCCACGCAGTTACCACCAGTGAGCCCTCGTAGTGCATCTCAAGAAAGCTGACAAACAGGGCAGGGAGAAAAGGGGAGTGCGGGGACCCCGGGAAGGGGGGAATGAGGAGAGGAGTGCGTATAAAAGGGGTTCGATACGCTCGTCATATTCATATCCACGTTCTTCAGCCCCTCCGCCTTCCACGCAGTTACCAACCACTAGGGAACCTCCGTAATGCATCTCGAGTGAACTGTCAGATATTGGGCAAGTGGGGGAGGGCGGGGAGAGAGGATGGCAAAAGGGGTCCGATACGCTCATCATATCCATGTTCTTTAACCCCTCCACTCCACCTTCCACGCAGTCACCACCAGGGAACCCTCATAGTGCATTTCCAGTGAGCTGAGGAATAGGGCAGAGTGGAAAAGGGGGGTTTGGGAGGAAGTAGAGGGCGGAGGGAAGGTAGGGGGGAAGGTAGGGGGGAAGGTATGATCGCCAGATGAAGGCAAAGGGGGCGGAAACACTCACTCGCCACATCACATCACATCACATCACATCATATCATATTCACAAGAATGGGCGAGAGTCTCACCTCGCGTCAAACTTGGGCGCGAGTGGCACAACTATGCGTTCGGGCCACATGAGCGTGCTCTCAGTGGCGCTGTGCACGGTGTTCTCTACCATCCCCAGTACATGCTATGCTATGCCCGGGAACCATTAGTCTTACCTGGCATCAAACGAGGGCGCGAGCGGCACGACGATGCGTTCAGGCCACATGAGGGTGCTCTCGATGGCGCTGTGCACCGTGCTCTCTATCATCCCCGCCAGCCCCGGGATGGACGACAGCTGGCCCCCGATCGCCTTCAGCTTGTATTCTATCCGCATGCGCGGCTGGAGGGGGCGGCGGTGGGGGGGGGGAGGGGAGGGGAAGAGGGGTTGGGAAAGGGGAGGGAGGGAGGAGAGGATGAGAAGGTGCCTGACAACCCCCCGATCGCCTTCAGCTTGTGGTATGTGTGCATGCGCGGCTGCAGGCGGTGAAGGGTATATGTGCATGCGCGGCTGCAGGCGGTGAAGGGTATATGTGCATGCGCGGCTGCAGGCGGTGAAGGGTATATGTGCATGCGCGGCTGCAGGCGGTGAAGGGTATATGTGCATGCGCGGCTGCAGGCGGTGAAGGGTATATGTGCATGCGCGGCTGCAGGCGGTGAAGGGTATATGTGCATGCGCGGCTGCAGGCGGCGAAGGGTTATGGGGAAGGAGGGGGGGGTGTGGGGGGGTTGGGGAGGAGTGGCAAGGTGGGAAGAGGGTGAGAAGGTGCCTGAGAATCTCCCCATTGCCTTCAGCTTGTAGCCAATGCGCATGCGCGGCTGAGGAAGAAAGGTACGGTGAGTAGAAAGGTAGAGTGAGTAGAGAGGTAGAGTGAGTAGAGAGGAGGTAGAGTGCGGTGGGGAGGCACTCAAGTGGAGGGCACAACGCACCTTCTTGTGGATGGAGATGACGACAGCATCGATGCACGGCAGCTGCTCCCCCAGCTGCAGGATGAGCCTCAGCCTCGCCCGCAACTCCAGGTCCTTGAGCTGTGTGGTGCAGTGCGGTGTGGTGTGGTGAGGAGGGGAGGAGAGGGGAGGGAAGAGAGGGGAAGAGAGGGGAGGAGTGGAAGCGAGAGGGGGAGGGGAAGAGAGGGAAGGAGGGGAAGAAAGGGGAGGAGGGGAAGAGAGGGAAGGGGAAAGTAGGGAGGGGGTGAAAAGACAGAAGGGGCACATTCATCAGGGATGAAGGAGAAAGCGAGTCGAACAAACCGCCACCCACTCACGGCACTCACACGCGCCTTGCGAATGCATCTTGCATGTAAGCCCTACAGGTCTTACGAGCTCTCCTGCACGTGCATCTTGACGCCCTCTCATCTCACCTGCACGTGCACCTGTCCAGCCCTCACCTGCACGTGCACCTGTCCAGCCCTCACCTGCACGTGCATCTTGACACCCATGCTGGCGATGGCGAGGATGATTGATGAGCCGCCCCCCACCCACAAGTTCATGTCCACCATCACCTGCTGCTCCACCAGCCGCTGCACCTTCACTCCTGTGAGGGTGCAGGGAGGGGATGGGGATAGGTTGAGTATTGAAGAAGCCTTGATGCCCTGCCCTTTCCCCCCACCCACGCACAGGTTTATGTCAACCATCACCTGCTGCTCCACCAGCCACTGCACCTTCACTCCTGTGTGAGAGGGAGGGGAGGGCGTGTGGCAGGAGTTGAGCGTTGAAGCCTTAAGGACCTTCCTCCACCCCCCACCCACAGGTTTATGTCAACCAACACCTGCTGCTCCACCAGCCACTGCACCTTCACACACACCTGTGGTGTGGCACATGGTACACAGCAGAAGAGCAGGGAGGGGATGTGGCGGCATGAGCAGGGAGTGGGATAGTTGAATTGTTGAGGCCCTAAGGCCCTGTCCCCACACCCACAAGTCCATGGTACCATCACCTGCTGCTCCACCAGCCGCTGCACCTTCACACCTGTGGTGTGGCACATGGTGCCAACGGGAAGGGATGTGGCACATGGTGCCAACGGGAAGGGGTCCGGCACATGGCACATGGCACACGAGCATAGAGGGGGGAACGCTTGACAGCCGAGACTAAAAGCCATTTCGCATCCCCTGCATCTTAAACTGCCTGCAGTACTGTCGCTCTTGTTTTGTAACGTCCTGCAAGCCAGCTCTCCTTCTTTTCAATCAATGCCTCATTAGGCGCCCTCTGCTGTACTATACCCCACTGCCCGGCAGGCACAGCAGAGAAGGCTCGCCTGCTTCAATCCCACACTAGGCGCACCTGCTGTGTGCAACAAGAGGTGCACCTGCTATGTGCAACAAGAGGTGCACCTGCTATGTGCAACAAGAGGTGCACCTGCTATGTGCAACAAGTGGTGCACCTGCTATGTGCAACAAGAGGTGCACCTGCTATGTGCAACAAGAGGTGCACCTGCTATGTGCAACAAGAGGTGCACCTGCTATGTGCAACAAGAGGTGCACCTGCTATGTGCAACAAGAGGTGCACCTGCTATGTGCAACAAGAGGTGCACCTGCTATGTGCAACAAGAGGTGCACCTGCTATGTGCAACAAGAGGTGCACCTGCTATGTGCAACAAGAGGTGCACCTGCTATGAGCAACAAGAGGTGCACCTGCTATGTGCAACAAGAGGTGCACCTGCTATGAGCAACAAGAGGTACACCTGCTATGTGCAACAAGAGGTGCACCTGCTATGTGCAACAAGAGGTGCACGCACCTTCTATGCGCGGCGCATTGCTGCCGAGCTTGAAGCGCTTGAAGGCCAGCGACGACACTCCTGGAGGCTTGTAGCTGTCCAGCATGGGCTCCACCACCTCCTTCACCAGATGCGATGTCGCCTGCACGGGGAGAGAGGAGAGGGGAGAGGAGAGGGGAAATGCAGCTTGTAGCAGCGAGCGAGGGAGAGAGAGGCCTTGTAGACGTGGCCTGCAGTGTGGGAGAGGGTGTGGACAAGAAAAGAAGGGATTTGCGGCTGGGAGAGAGAGGGCAGGTAAATGTCGTGTCGAGTGTGGACTCTACGACGCCCCTCACCACATGAGACGTGGTGTGCATGGCGAGGGGAGAGCATGAGATGGCTTACACAATACAGCCGCACGCCGGTTCTCCCAGTCGCCCCAGCTCCCCATCCCACCCTTCCTATCACCTCCTCTGCATGCCCAATCACCCCCAACTCAACCCAACCCCCCTTAACCAACTCACCCAACCCACCCCCCCCAACTCACCCAACCCACCCCCCCCAACTCACCCAACCCATCCCCCCCCCACCCCCCCCCCCAACTCACCCGGTCAACGTACTTCCACACCTCCTGCAGCTGCACGTTCAGCCAGTGCACCTGCCAGTCACGGCCCAGGAGGAGGGGGGAAACAGGGGGGTGGGGATGAGGAGGGAAGGGGCAACAAAGCTTGCTGCGGCTCGAACCTCTCTGATTCGAATTTCTCATATGCTCTATCGCCCATCCCACATGCTCTATCGCCCATCCCACATGCTCAATCGCCCATCCCACGTGCTCTATCACCCATCCCACATGCTCTATCGCCCATCCCACATGCTCTATCGCCCATCCCACATGCTCAATCGCCCATCCCACGTGCTCTATCGCCCATCCCACATGCTCTATCGCCCATCCCACATGCTCTATCGCCCATCCCACATGCTCTATCGCCCATCCCACATGCTCTATCGCCCATCCCACATGCTCTATCGCCCATCCCACATGCTCTATCGCCCATCCCACATGCTCTATCGCCCATCCCACATGCTCTATCGCCCATCCCACATGCTCTATCGCCCATCCCACATGCTCTATCGCCCATCCCACATGCCGTATCTCCCATCCCATGTGTATGCAAATTCCCTAGCTGGAGTGTCAAGCATCAAAACTTACTGTTTTTGACGAGCGACGACGGACAATAACGCTGTTGAAGCTTGATGCGCATGTGTCATGCGTGCGCAAAAACGCTGTGCAGGTTGAGCCCGCAGAACATTCCAGGGACCCAGTCTCACAGGCAAACCTCCCGCATGCGATTTTGTGTTGACGCAACTCGCGAAATCGACCCCAGCCAGCATTTCCCCCCCCCCCCTCTCCCCCCAACCACATTCAATGTTTCCACCACTCTTCACCACACTACAACTAGCCAGCCTTCCTCCTCCTACAAACGTGTCAACTGCCAAATCTTGCCATTTTCTTGGCATGATTTGGCAGATCGACTAGTAAACCCTAGAACCCGCCCCTTGGTACTGCCGCCTTCCTCCCACACTCTTAAACGGCCCTTAAACTCCAATCGAGCGTCAAGTTTCCAAATCGTTTCGCGCCATGCGACAAAACGCAGCACTTTGATGCTGGTGGGTGCCATGCCAATGACGCTTGACCTGTCAATCCCTTCCCTTCCCATCACCCGTCTCACATGCTGTAACACCCATGGCCAATCTCACATGCTCTATCTCCCATTACCCATTACCCATCACGCATCTCACATGCTCCATCACCCATATCAAACAACCATCAGCATCGAACATGTTCAAAACTCCTGGAAGTGCACCCAGCCGGGGGTGTCCTCACAGCAGATCGCCCGAATGTCCGCCAGCTGAGGCGCCTCAAAAAACCCATCTCACATGCGCTATAACCCATATCACCCATATGACCCATATCACCCATCACCCATCACCATCTCACATGCGCTATAACCCATATCACCCATATCACCCATCACCATCTCACATGCGCTATCACCCATATCACCCATCACCCATCACCCATCACCATCTCACATGCGCTATCACCCATATCACTCATCACCAACCATATCACCCACATCACCAGTGACCCATGACCCATGACCCATCGCACATGCTCAAACTCCTGGAAGTGCACCCAGCCAGGGGTGTCCTCGCGGCAGATCGCCCGGAGGTCCGCCAGCTGCAGCGCGTTCAGGAAGTGGATGTCCGCCTTCTGCTCGTGAGAGGGGAGGTAGAATGGGTAATGGGGGAGGGGGATAGGCGGAAGGGGGAATTGGGGAGGGGTGACTGAGTGTCCGCCAGCTGAGGCGCGTTCAGGACGTGAATGTTCGCCTTCTGCTTGCGAGGGGGGAGGGGGAATGGGTGATGGGGAGGGGGATAGGCGGAAGGGGGAATCGGGGAGGGGTGACTGAGTGTCCGCCAGCTGAGGCGCGTTCAGGACGTGAATGTTCGCCTTCTGCTTGCGAGGGGGGAGGGGGAATGGGTGATGGGGAGGGGGATAGGCGGAAGGGGGAATTGGGGAGGGGTGACTGAGTGTCCGCCAGCTGAGGCGCGTTCAGGACGTGAATGTTCGCCTTCTGCTTGCGAGGGGGGAGGGGGAATGGGTGATGGGGAGGGGGATAGGCGGAAGGGGGAATCGGGGAGGGGTGACTGAGTGTCCGCCAGCTGAGGCGCGTTCAGGACGTGAATGTTCGCCTTCTGCTTGCGAGGGGGGAGGGGGAATGGGTGATGGGGAGGGGGATAGGCGGAAGGGGGAATCGGGGAGGGGTGACTGAGTGTCCGCCAGCTGAGGCGCGTTCAGGACGTGAATGTTCGCCTTCTGCTTGCGAGGGGGGCGGGGGAATGGGTGATGGGGAGGGGGATAGGCGGAAGGGGGAATCGGGGAGGGGTGACTGAGTGTCCGCCAGCTGAGGCGCGTTCAGGACGTGAATGTTCGCCTTCTGCTTGCGAGGGGGGAGGGGGAATGGGTGATGGGGAGGGGGATAGGCGGAAGGGGGAATCGGGGAGGGGTGACTGAGTGTCCGCCAGCTGAGGCGCGTTCAGGACGTGAATGTTCGCCTTCTGCTTGCGAGGGGGGAGGGGGAATGGGTGATGGGGAGGGGGATAGGCGGAAGGGGGAATCGGGGAGGGGTGACTGAGTGTCCGCCAGCTGAGGCGCGTTCAGGACGTGAATGTTCGCCTTCTGCTTGCGAGGGGGGAGGGGGAATGGGTGATGGGGAGGGGGATAGGCGGAAGGGGGAATCGGGGAGGGGTGACTGAGTGTCCGCCAGCTGAGGCGCGTTCAGGACGTGAATGTTCGCCTTCTGCTTGCGAGGGGGGAGGGGGAATGGGTGATGGGGAGGGGGATAGGCGGAAGGGGGAATCGGGGAGGGGTGACTGAGTGTCCGCCAGCTGAGGCGCGTTCAGGACGTGAATGTTCGCCTTCTGCTTGCGAGGGGGGAGGGGGAATGGGTGATGGGGAGGGGGATAGGCGGAAGGGGGAATCGGGGAGGGGTGACTGAGTGTCCGCCAGCTGAGGCGCGTTCAGGACGTGAATGTTCGCCTTCTGCTTGCGAGGGGGGAGGGGGAATGGGTGATGGGGAGGGGGATAGGCGGAAGGGGAATCGGGGAGGGGTGACTGAGTGTCCGCCAGCTGCAGAGCGTTCAGGAAGGGAATGGGCGTACTGACCTCTCGGTCGTAGGTATGGCCACACTGACCTCTCGGTCGCGTAGCGTTTGCCGCTGGTCCATGACGTATTTCCACATCGTTAGCAGCATCGCTCCCAGAGCGAACCCTAACACGAATATAACCGCCGCCGCCATGGCCCTCGCTCCTCCTGACGGAAAACGTTAGGGATAACGATAAATGTCAGGGGTGATGACAATCGTAACGATAGTAGCTGCGACGATAGTGACTGCGATAACGTTAGGGCAGCTCTGAACGTCAGTTATATCGACAGACGTCACGGATAACGATAAACGTCAGCGTGAGTAAGGATTTGTCAGTGAGAACAACAAACGTCAGGGATAGACGTCAGCGATTGCGATAAACACCAGCGATGGCGGAAAGCGTCAGTGATATTGAGAAACGTCAGTGACGGCCGGAATGCGTGTTCGGGCCATCGTATGGCGACGCATTTGGTCTTGCTGGCGGAGGATCAAGATCATTCACTCCAAAAACCTACTTCGTTTCTAAGGCACTGCCTTCATAGCCGTCGCTGAGAGATTTGAAGTTCTTCGCGACAACTGCGAATCATTTGAAAACGGAAAATAACTTACAAACAAAACAGAAACATCGAATGCGGACCAACATTGTGGGATGTGATACTCGGAGTATGTTTATTAGCGAATAGCAAGATCTACGGCTGCTATTAACGAATTCACTGCTCGGTATCAGACTCAGTAATGGTTCTAGCGAACTTACTGCTACTGTCTACGACGAAGTGCTGAACCCCGGCAAGCTTCGCAAAAAACGGCTGAGAAAGTCGACGGCGGAAGCATAATTAACTCGATATTGCAGAGGGTAGCACCTTGGAGCGAAACATGTGCACGAGAAACTGAGTTTGAGATGTTTCTTGAATTAATTCGATGCCATCACAGGAGGTGACTGCTATGCGGGAACGGCGGTGAGCCGGGAGAAACCAAAGAGAGGTGACGAGCAGGAGTGCACTCCTGGAAGAAGCTAGGAAATACAGTACCTCTTCGGAAAGAAGGCATTTGGGACTTCGGAGCAAAACCATGATTCCTTGTTGGCGCATTCTCTTTCTGTAAGATCTTGGAGTGCATTGAAGCTGGGGGCATTACCGCCCAAGGCCTGAAAAAGGAGTGTGCTTCCTCAGGCTGCATACCCTACCTGTTTTCGCGACTGCAGTGCAGACTTAGAGGCGCCGTGGACTACTTCAGCCCATGACTGTAGAGGGAAGGGCACGAACAATTTCCCAATGAGGCATTTTCGCCAAAAAAGTGCCTGCAAAATACAGGGCACGCCCGCATTCTGAATCGTCATTCTGGAAAACAGCTCAACACACATCATCGAGTGGTGTCAGACAGATCTGGATTGTTGTCGCAAGAAAGAAGGGCACCTCGGTCGCTCTGTACTGTACGGTCCCAGACGGTGGAAATCAAAGATGTTTCCTAGCAGTGTTGGGGCACCAGCCTGAATTTAATTGTTAAAGAACCTCACGATCAACAAATGTCACCCACTTAGCTCCCGTTTGTCATTCCTGCAAAAGCCGCCAAAACAAACAAGTGGCACCAATGACCTTCCCAATCTCGTTCTCACGCTCGCCAATCAAGTCGACTCGAGCAAGACCCTTTGAGGGGGAAAGCTGATATATCATGCCATGTACAGTGTTAGAAAGTGAAGCCTGTATGGTGCAACTTTTGTGAATGTATTAGAACATGTGACACGTCAAATAGGGATAAAAAACAAGTGGCCACTAATGGTTGCTTTCAGGTTTAACGAATATATTTCCAGTTAGATTATTCGCTTACGGCACTACTAATTGGCCAGCATGACAAGTCGTTGCAACTCATGTCAAGAAATGGCCCGATGTAGTTCCATCGTGAGACTCCCTGTAACAGTAATTTAATATTTTATTTATGAATTAAGACCGGGAATTTATTACTCCCAGAAGGCTTGCACTGTGGATGCCCGATTGATCATATGGAAGAGTTGCGGCCACGTTGGCCTAGGGGGTTACGGGAGCACTCACCCGCTACATAAATAAGCTCTTGTATTACACTGGTTAATGGCTCCGGTTTTGGCATGGTCTCAGAGCGAAGGTCTCGGGTTCGAATCCCCATGTGCGCACAGTTAGAAACTAACGAGCAGGAATGATTGCATTGACATCAGGCTGAGTACAGGTATAACCCTAATTGAGCTGTAACCCATGTAGGCTACCTCGCTACACCCTACACTGTTGAAACAGCAGGCTAAAACGATAAACAGAAACGAGGAGTTTTCACTAGCATGCAGTTGAGTACATATAGCAAACCCTAATTCGGGCTGTACTCGCTATAGAGTACGCCATTGCAGGCTACACAAACATCACATTATGACACACCCCTATAGTCAAAGTGGGGTACAATCAACACAACAAGCAGGCAGAGCAGTAGTTCACA